TGTTTTAAAAATTTTTAAATTCCGCTGCATATAGCTCGTACGGTACAGGCGAACCTAACACTCTCACACTGGAGGGGTTTTCCGGTGAAGAGCCTCCGAAGCTTAAGTCAGTGTATGTTCAATCAATTCTCGAGAGTAAGTAGTAGAATGATCGTGTTGAAGAAGAAAGGCTCACCCCCTTTATATAGGGGTGAGATACCTGACCTAGGGCTGCCCGGATTTGATGAGCTGTCTGCCCCAACTGCCCGTCCGTACACACCAAACGCGTGTGTCAGAGGTAGCCGTCGCCACTATCGCCTGCATCAATCCTCTTTGGACGTGTGTCCTCCTGCACATGGGGTAGGCTGTCAGAGGTGGTTATCGCTATCCACCACTACCTTTTCGACACGTGTCCCCCCGCACATGGGGTAAATATTCTTCTGGAATTCTGTTAGAGGCTCCTTCACGCGCCTATGACTAGGCCGAATAGCGTGGTGTTAAGTCCTCGTAGTAATCGACCTGTTGAGGTCGAATAGGTTGCTCGATCGTGTATCTGGTCGAAAGATAGTTTGGTCGACAGCCTTGATTGGTCGACTGGTTGACTGCTCGATTTCTTTGGCTTTCTCATAATACGACCACCTCGACCGGTCAACAGACCGGTTTAGCCTTGTGGGTATAATATCCTATATCAGCTGGTCGATATCTAACGACGAACCATCCCGAAGGACGATAAATACTAATTCACTCTTAGATCGAGTCATTCAGACTCGACCAGAGTGGGGGGGACTAAATGATATAGGATATTATACCAACAAGGCTGAACCGGTCTGTTGGCCGGTCGAGGAGGTCGTGTTATGAGGAAGCCAAAGATATCCTATATTTATTATACTATGTATTATAGAATCCTAATCCTTTAGGAGAAGGATTAAATATTATATATCTTATATATTTTCTTACCATATTGTAACGCCCCACTTTTATTTGCCGAAAATCAGAATAAATTTTTCAAAATTTATTTCAAAACACTTTGAAGCGCTACTCATTTTCAAAACAATCATCAATACTTAACCACAATATCAATACTCAATCCATCATCAATCCTCATTTATCAATAATAACATCTCAATAATCAATTCTGCAATCCAATAATCAATATATCCTAGAGAGTACACTCCCTATCAATATTCCATCATTCAATAATCAAGAAAACAGTAATAACAATATAAGTTTTCAAAAGCGGAAGCAATATCAATAATAAGACCACCACTCGCATCCCTCCGCCGTGCCCGCAATACTAACCTGCATCCATGAAGATCAGGTGGGGATGAGCACAAGAGGAACAGTAGTGCTCACCACTATGCAGTAAATGTTATTTACAATAATGTAACAATGATCAATAATCAAAAGTATGGTCTCAGCGTGTATACGTAAATAGTTAGTTATCCCAACCTCCTATCCCAAGTTCGTTCTCATGTGCACACCCATATCAAT